TTTTCTGCATCTATTGAGAGGATCATATGATTCTTGTTCTTTCTTTTGTTAATGTATTGTATCATGTTGATTGATTTGCAGAAGTTGAACCAACCTTGCAGCCCAGGGACTGAATCCCACTTGGTCATGGTGAATAATCCTTTTAATGTACTGTTGGATCCTATTGGCTAGTATTTTGGTGAGAATTTTTGCATCTATGTTCATCAGGGATATTGGTCTGTAATTCTCCTTTTGGATGGGGTCTTTGTCTGGTTTTGGGATCAAGGTAATGCTGGCCTCATAAAATGAGTTTGGAAGTTTTCTTTCCGTTTCTATTTTTTGGAACAGTTTCAGAAGAATAGGTATTAATTCTTCTTGAAATGTTTGGTAGAATTCCCCTGGGAAGCCATCTGGCCCTGGGCTTTTGTTTGTCGGGAGATTTTTGATGACTGCTTCAATTTCCTTAGTGGTTATAGGTCTGTTCAGGTTTTCTATTTCATCCTGGTTCAGTTTTGGTAGTTGATACATCTCTAGGAATGCATCCATTTCTTCCAGGTTATCTAATTTGCTGGCTTAAAGTTGCTCATAATATGTTCTTATCATTGTTTGTATTTCTTTGGTGTTGGTTGTGATCTCTACTCTTTCATTCATGATTTTGTTGATTTGGGTCATTTCTCTTTTCTTTTTGATAAGTCTGGCCAGGGGTTTATCAATCTTGTTAATTCTTTCAAAGAACCAGCTCCTATATTTGTTGATCTGTTCTACTGTTCTTTTAGTTTCTATTTCATTGATTTCTGCTGTGATTTTTATTATTTCTCTTCTCCTGCTGGGTTTAGGCTTTATTTGCTGTTCTTTCTCCAGCTCCTTTAGGTGGAGGGTTAGGTTGTGTACTTGAGACCTTTCTTGTTTCTTGAGAAAGGCTTGTATTGCTATATACTTTCCTCTTAGGACTGCCTTTGCTGCATCCCAAAGATTTTGAAGAGTTGTGTTTTCATTTTCATTGGTTTCCATGTATTTTTTTAATTCTTCTTTAATTTCCTGGTTGACCCATTCATTCTTCAGTAGGATGCTCTTTAGCCTCCATGTATTTGAGTTCTTTCCGACTTTCCTCTTGTGACTGAGTTCTAGTTTCAAAGCATTGTGGTCTGAAAATAGGCAGGGAATGATCCCAATCTTTTGGTACCAGTTGAGACCTGATTTATGACCTAGGATGTGATCTATTCTGGAGAATGTTCCATGGGCACTAGAGAAGAATTTAAAAAAATAAAAAATAAAATAAAATCAATTTGTCTGATATAAGAATTGCCACCCCAGCTTTCTTTTGGTGTCCATTAGCATGGTAAATGGTTTTCCACCCCCTCACTTTCAATCTGGGGGTGTCTTTGGTTCTAAAATGAGTCTCTTGCAGACAGCATATCGATGGGTCTTGTTTTTTTTTTTTTTTTAAGATTTTATTTATTTATTTGAGAGAGAGAGAATGAGAGAGAGAGAGCACATGAGAAGGGGGAGGGTCAGAGGGAGAAGCAGACTCCCTGCTGAGCAGGAAGCCTGATGCAGGACTCGATCTAGGGACTCCAGGATCATGACCTGAGCTGAAAGCAGTCGCTTAACCAACTGAGCCACCCAGGCGCCCGATGGGTCTTGTTTTTTAATCCAGTCTGATAGCCTGTGTCTTTTGATTGGGGCATTTAGCCCATTTACATTCAGGGTAACTATTGAAAGATAGGAATTTAGTGCCATTGTATTGCCTGTAAGGTGACTGTTACGGTATATTGTCTCTGTTCCTTTCTGGTCTATGTTGCTTTTAGGCTCTCTCTTTGCTTAGAGAACCCCTTTCAAGATTTCCTGTAGGGCTGGTTTCGTGTTTGCAAATTCCTTTAGTTTTTGTTTGTCCTGGAAGTTTTTTATCTCTCCTTCAATTTTCAATGACAGCCTAGCTGGATATAATATTCTTGGCTGCATATTTTTCTCATTTAGTGCTCTGAAGATATCCTGCCAGTCCTGTCTGGCCTGCCAGGTCTCTGTGGATAGGTCTGTTGCCAATCGAATGTTTCTACCATTGTAGGTTACATATCTCTTCTCCCGAGCTGCTTTCAGGATTTTCTTTTTGTCTCTGAGACTCGTAAGTTTTACTATTAGATGTCGGGGTGTTGACCTATTTTTATTGATTTTGAGAGGAGTTCTCTGTGCTTCCTGGATTTTGATGCCTGTTTCCTTCCCCAAATTAGGGAAGTTCTTTGGTATAATTTGCTCCATTATACCTTCTGCCCCTCTCTCTCTTTCTTCTTCTTCTGGGATCCCAATTATTCTAATGTCGTTTCGCCTTATGGTATCGCTTATCTCTCGAATTCTGCCCTCATGATCCAGTAGTTATCTCTCTTTTTCTCAACTTCTTTATTTTCCATCATTTGGTCTTCTATATTACTGATTCTCTCTTCTGCCTCATTTATCCTAGCAGTTAGCGCCCCCATTTTTTATTGCACCTCATTAATAGCCTTTTTGATTTCTACTTGGTTAGATTTTAGTTCTTTTACTTCTCCAGAAAGGGTTTCTCTAATAACTTCCATATTTTTTTCAAGATAAAAACAAACAAAACAAAACAACAACAACAACAAAAACCCAGAATGTGATCAAATATGATCAGGCTGGTATATAGATCAGTGCCACACACTAGATTTGGGGTGTATTTTGGTCTGTTAGAAGAAAGTGCCTCCCAAAATTTTAAAGAAAGAAAAACTTATATATGTACAAAAATAAGGGTTGATATGATGAAGGGATGGAATATGACTGTAAAGATGGAAATTATAAAAAATTTTATAAAAGGAATTGATAAGAAGTTGTGTGAAAAAAGAAAGAAGAGGATTTAAAAAAAGAAAAAGAAAAAGAAAAAAAAGAGAGAGAATGTGATCAGGCAGGGGAATAGAAAAAACCATATACTAGAGATTTAGGGTATATTTTGATCTCTTAGAAGAAATTATCTCAAAATTTTAAAGAGAGAACAACTTATATATATAAGCCAAAAATACAGGTAACTACTATGAAGGGATTGAATATGACTCTAAAAATGAAAAATAAAAATGTTTTTTTTTTTTTTTTAAAAAGGGATTGAAAAGATGTTGGTTGCAAAAGGGAAAAAGAAAAATTCAAAAAAAAAAAAGAGAAAAAAAAAGAAAAAAAGACAGTTAAAAAAAAATTAAGTTTGAAAGACTAAAGAATCATGGTAAAAAAGCCATGAATTCTATGTGCAGTAGTCCCCTAGCACTGGAGTTCTGCCATTCTCATTGATCGGTAAACTTGGTCTTGGCTGGCTGTTCTCGCTGATCTTCTGGGGGAGGGGCCTGTTGCCGTGGTTTCCAAATGTCTCTGCCGGAGGCGGAATTGCCCCGCCCTTGCCCCCTCCCGGCTAAGTAATCTGCTCGGGTTTGCTCTCCGGGGCTTTTGTTCCCTGCGAGCTTTCCGTACAGCTTTGGAGGCGGAGAGTGAAAATGGCGGCCTCCCAATCTCTGCCCCGGAGGAGCCGAGAACTCGGGGCCCTGCTTCTCAGTGAGCCCCCAGAGAAAAGCCGTCAGTCACTCCCGTCTCCCCAGTCTCTGGCTGCACTCCGTGCTCGCCCGGCCTGTGACTTAGCGTTTCTATCTCTGGCACCCGACCCCGGGTGGAGTCTCCAAACCCAGCAGATCCCTGCGTGCACTCCCGCGCGGCTCCTCCCGGGGGAGGAAGGTGAGTCTCCCCGGATCTGCCGCTTGTTGGGTCCCTGCTGGAGGAGCAGGGGCCCGACTGTGCCGCGGATCACGGTTTATGGCCACCCCGAGCTGAGAGCCCGCGCCTGGGCTCCGCCTCTGCAGCCGGCTTCCCTGCTCCGTTACCTGGGAGCTCGGCCGCACTCAGGCACCCCCGGTCTTTCTGTGGCCCCGAGGGTCCTGAGACCACACTGTCCCGGAGGGTTCCACCCCCCGCTTAGCCACCAGAGTGACGTCCCTCAGCGGAGCAGACTTTTAAAAGTTCCGATTTTGTGCTCTGTGGTTCTATCACTTGCCAGAAGCGGCTGACGGAGGCCCCTCCCCTGCCGTCTATCCTCCCGAATATCACCTTGGATTCACTTCTCTGTACGTCCTACCTTCCAGAAAGTGGTCGCTTTTCTGATGAGAGAGTTGTTGCTATTCTTTTCTTCGATCTCCTGTTGAGTTTGTAGGTGTTCAGAATGGTTTGATCCCTATCCAGATGAATTCCTGAGAGGAGACGAAATCCAGGTCTCCTACTCCTCCGCCATCTTGCTCCGCCCCCTATATGTCCTCTTTATACTCTAAACATGCAATGTCCAATATAGTAGCCATGGCATTGTCCAAGACAATGTCCTTTTAACATTTAAATATAAATTAACTATAATTAACAAGAATTGCAAATGCACTTGCCCAGTACACTATCTACATTTCAAATGCTCAATAGCCATAAAAGTTATTCTTATATGTTGGTCTTTATTATTCTATATTAGAGAATATCTCCATTATTTTAGAAAAATTCAACTGGACAATTCTGGTCCATACAGTTATCACAACATGCCTGTAAGGTGGGCACTTTCCCCATTTTGAAGATTAATTAACTGAATCTCAAAATTAAAGCTCCAAGGTATCCACCTCTATAACTGAAACCTAGGATTTGAATCCAGCTTTGGTTCAATGCAAAGAAAGTGCTTGATTTCCATATTGGGCACATTACTTAGTTTTTTCCTTTCTTGAATATACTTATGGCAGGGACATAGTATGTCCTATTTGACACAAATCCACAGTTGGTAGAAAATTTATGAAATGTTTCAGATGGAGTCTCCCACCTTCACCCCTAAGAATGATTCACTTGCAAAACATAGGTTAAAATGGAACTTGTTTGTAGGTGATTTTCTGGATTTATGTTTATATATTTTTTAAAATCAAGAATCATAGACTCTGGGCTAAAGCTCTAATCCTAATAAAATTCATGTTTTGGTATTACATATTGCGTGTTAATTATTGTTGCTGTTTTGTTCTTTAAAAGACCTGAGCATCTCAACATATTTTCAGAGAAAAGAGTCTGAGCATTCTGCTCTGAATCTGCTGGGTCTTGACACTGTACATGATGGGGTTCATCAAAGGTGGGAAAAGGATGTGGATGTTGCCCATAAGTACATGGATCACAGGGGAGAGACGTTTGCCGAAACAGCACCATTGTTAGGCTAATGATAGGGATGTAGAACACCAGAACAGCACAAATGTGGGAGATGCAGGTCTGAAATGACTTATGCCACTCCTCCTGAGAGGCAATTGCCAGGACTGCCCTAAGAATCAGGACATAGGAGTAAAGGATCAGAACAGCATCCAACAACAGCATGAAAATGACCAGCATCAGGACATAGTAGCTATTAAATCTGATGTCTGAGCAAGCTAGGCAGAGAAGGTCCTGGTGCAGGCAGAATGAGTGAGAGAGGATGTGGGAATGGCAGTAATGGAAAAATTTCAGATTGATGATGGGGGGTGTAATAAAGAAGAAACTCCTAACTACTATGGTGAGCCCAATTTTGAAAATCCTGGAATTATTCAGAATGGAGGAATAACACACTGGATGGCAAATAGTGATATACCTATCAAAGGCCATAGTAAGGAGGACAGAGGACTCCATGAAGGACAGACCATGGATGAAGTAGGACTGGGCGATGCAGGAATCCAGGCTGATTTCTCGAATGAACCCCCACAGGATGCCCAGCATCGTGTGCACTGTGGACAGCCCCATGCACAGGTCAGTGAGGGCCAGCATGCCCAGGAAGTAGAACATAGGCTGGTGCAGGCTCGGCTCAGTCCAGATCACATGCAACACCAGGCAGTTTCCCAGGAAGACCATGGCATAGATGGTGGAGAAAGGAATGGAGATCCAGGGATATTGCTGCTCCAGGCCAGAAAATGCAGTGAGAATGACGGAGGAAGAATTCACGCTAGGGCTTCTCAAAGCAATCATTCTGGCACTGGGATACTTCTTCCAGGCAGCAAGAAAGTGTTTTTCAAAGGAAATGCTCCAATTTCAGATGAGTTAGGTGAAATTGCTAAGTAAATAAAATTGTGCTTAAAGTTAACTAAGTGTAGGAAATGTTAGCCGAGCGACTCTGATCTTTAAAGATGTATTATTTGCTGCCTAGAAGAGAATAGTGTCCTCCTGATGTAATTTCAGAGCCATTATTCATCTACTGGCAGGTGCACAGGTGTCCTTAGAAGCCACAAGTGAAAATGAATAGACTAGAGGAGGAAACTAATTTCCAGAGAGGATATGTTGCCTGGGATATTTTCTCAGGGATTCTGGTCAAAGGACGTAGCTGTAAAATTGAGAGCTGAGGTTCTCAAAGTAATTATTAGTTTCCTCCCCTTCAATTCATTAAGGATTTAAAATGAAGAGTAAGATTTAGCATTTAAGCATCCAAAATCTATTTAACTAATCACTGTGTACCCATAATTTTCCATTTTCTGCTGTCTCCAAGTGAATTCTTCCTCCAAACAGTCCTTAGCTAAGACATTGCTGTATTGTTCCACTCTGGATGACACAGCCAAGTACTTTTTCTCTGCAGTGACAAGCAGAGAGACATATTTATGCATGAGACCTTTAATGAGTGATCTCCCATGAGAACTCTCACGCCAAGATGTTCAGCTTACCTATGCCCTTGTGACAGGGAGACTTGGGTTGAAGACTCTCAGCTTCTGACATCAGCCCAGTGTTCTCCACCCACTTATTCACTCACTGAATCAGTAAGCTCACTATTCATTTAATATGCATGTATTGAAGGAGTGAGCAATTTTTTTTCTCTTCCTTAGAACCTAGCATTCTAAAGATCAGAAAGAAGGCCAATGTGGCATAGTAAGTCCAGAATTTTAAATAGCTTCCTTGCAAGCATTAATTGTCTTCTTCCACACATTGTTTTCCCTCTTGGGGTTCTGGCCCTGGGAGTCACCATAAAAGAGTTAATTGCTCTTAGAGTGTAGGCAGGGATTTTAAAGTCCATACTGGTTTTTATGTTTCATTTCACCCTTCCAACATGTTCCATTAGCTTCAGAGTCTGGCTTCCCCTTGTGGACCATTCCTCATCTTTGTCATCCTAGCACAACAGGCAGCCCTCAGGCTACCCTTCTTCTGAATGCACCCTGTATCCCTATCTGACCCCTTCTAGAATCCCCTCCACTGTTATTTCTTGCCCTGATCCCCTCTCCATGCGAAATGACTTAGCCCACCATTTTTATTTGTCTCCTTCTTTGAATGATTGGAGTCTTTACCTTTTGAAAAAAATGTGTCCACCTTGAGCACTTCTTTTCTTTCTCAAAAGCACCATTTCTCTTCTTTCCAGAGATGTTTTTCCAAATGTTCTTTCTGCCTAAGATGTTCTTTTCACAGAGATAGTCTTTCCCATCTTCTCCCCAAACTCTTCCTCCTCTTTGTAAAATAATCTTGTATTTTTCCTCTGCAACTCAGCCATCACTTTTCAGGAAGCACCTTACCTGAGACAGATTTTCCCCACATATCTATTATGTTGGTAACATATATTTATCTTTATATAGCTTATTCAATTTATAATTTGATATTAATGAAACTACAGATTGACTAAAGTCTCTGTTACATGCTGAATTGTAAGCTCCCAGATGGGGGGAGGGGTAGTATTAATTTTTATTCTGTGTGGTAGGCTGAAATTTGCTCCTTAAAGTCCTCACCTTTGCCATGAGCTCAGACTCATGGATACAACCATGTACTTTATATCTTCGTCTGCATATTTAATCCAAAAATTCAGATTATAACAAAAAAGTATTTGGTTTTCCTCAGAAATCGATCATTTCCCCATTCCTCCTGATATCATAAAATGACTCCACGAATCACAGGATTGCTTCATGAATCACAGGATTGCTTAAGAAAACTCTCAAGAGGCTTTCTTGATTCTTCTCTTTCCTTCCTTCTCCTGGCTATCAAATCCTTCACCTCTTTCTTTCATTTCCAGCCTCAAGCATACCCACAACCTATCCACTTCTCACATATACACTATACACTACCACTGTCTTGGTATATAATATTGTTATCTGTTCCTTGGCTATTATAATAACTTACCAGCTATTTTTATTGTTTTTGCCCTTCCCCCTAAATATGTACTCTCCCCAGAGAAACCAAACCTATTTTCTTTTTTATTAAGATTTTTATTCCTTTATTTATTTGAGAGAGACAGAGAAGGAAAAAAAGAGGGGGAGAGAGAGAGAAGAGCAAATGGTAGAAGCAGACTTCAAGCTGAGCCCAGAGTCCAAAGATCCTGAGATCATGACCAGAGCAGAAATCAAGTTGGACACAACCGAATGAGCCACCCATGTGCCCCCAGACTACTTTTTTAAAACATCTGCTGGAACACATGAGCCCATGTTAAAACAAATCAAAACAACAACAAAAAACAAAAACAAAAACAAACAAAAATTACTAATGGATTTACACTGCTCTTAAATTAAAAAATATTTTATTCATCATGGTTAGAAAACTTTAAATGTTTGGGCTTACCCACCTCTCCATCAACACTTTAGGCCACTGTTGCTTTTTTTCCCTAATCTCTGGGAATCCTTTCTTCCTCAAAATGAATTAAGAGTTTCCCTATCTCAGAGTCTTTGTTCTTGATCTTCTCTCTGCCTAGAATTATCTACTCCAGGTACTTGCACAAAACCTCTTTCATCATTCAGGATTCTACCACTCCACATGACAGCAATTACTTTTCTTCTTTGGTGAAGAATTCAATGTAGCTTCCTCAGAAGAATTTTTGTAACCCCACCACAAGTGTCCCCATCCTCTCCAATAAATTACTATCCTCAAAATACCCTGCTTTGTGTTTATACCACATATCATATGCTGATTTTGCATGAGAGCTCCTGGAATTTCTAGAAAACCAGGTGCCATGTCTGGTTTTTGCTCACTGAAATGCAAAGTGAGGTTTAGCTTGGAGTGGCCATTTTTCAAATAATTATTGAATTACTTGAATTAATCTATGAATTTGAGCTGTGCAATTACAAAGGTATAAAACAAGTTAAAGCAAATGCATTGTAAAAAATTCCATGAAATCTAAACACTCATATCTTAAAGTAACACATCTGATCCTTGTTGGCCACATGCTACCAAACGTTGTCCTCCTATACAAGGTTTATATGATACATAAAACAGATGCTGGCTTGGGCATTCCTGATAACCTTGGACACAACACTCAGACTCCAAATATGATTCCTATCATCACAGCTTGACCCTCCATGGAGGCTTGGCCCTGGAATGGTGACGGAAGATTCAAACATTCTGTGAATATAGGCATGCATTGAAAACCATACTCTCACTCAGGCTTCTTCAGACTAGCCACTAAGGTTAATGGTGCTGCCTCAGAGAATAACAGCCTTTTAGCAATAAAAGAGCAATAAATATTAGAGACTGTTCCTATATTCTATTTTGAGATAGGATGGGAATCAGGAGAGGACAGTGTCAATGAGATGAATAAATGAACATTTCAAGAGGAAAGTAGTCACACATGTCAGATGCACAATATGCTCCCTTTGTATCAAAGTGGAAAAAAAAACACAAAAAACCATAGAACATCATTTCCCAAAACATTCATGATGTGTGATGTCCCCTTCCAGTAGTGTGCATAATATTTCTTTCTGAATTTCTAGCAACCAGAGAAATGCCTGGCATGAAATATGTAAGTAGTGAGGACATGCAGCAGTGAATTGGAGTCCAGGGCAGTGATGGGATTCTGGCATTCGCTCTGTGCACTTTGTCTGGAATGTGGATTTGGAAAGCATATCTGTGACCAAATTAAACAGATCATTCTTTCAGAGGAATCTTTCCTTACATCCTCCAATTCAAACTGACCTACATGGCCAGGCATCTCTGTCTTTTTTTCTATTCTTTGGAAATGATCCTCTACATGATCACTTGCTGCCATTTTCAGATTAGGTAGGATAATGACCAATAGTCTTTATTTACATTAAAGGTATAGAGGAAGAGTGTTCGATGTAAAAGTGAGTCTTTATCATTATATTGAATGAAAAATATTTCTGTTTGCCAGAATAGACCAGGTTTTTGCTTGTTTATTGGTACCATTATTTATATGACACCCACAAACAACCTGCTTTGGACAATAAATTGAAAGATTGCACTCTTTGCCAGGTAGTCCTTCTAATGGTCCCATCTGGACACCAGCAGGGGGCAGAAGAAGCCCATTGAATTTTCATCTCCTTAAGGATGCAAGAGCAGGTTTGCTTTACAACTGGCTAAGTATAAGTGAGGCCAAGCCCTTCAGAGTCTTGACATGGCTGAAGAGATAAGAACGTTCTATAACACTAGTCCAAAAAACTGGACGTTCAGGGGTTCTCAGAGAAGTATGTTAGCATTGGTGGCAACTTTTTTACCACAAACCCAGTATAGGCTTAAAATCCCAGGTTACAGGAATGGTTACTATTGTTAATTTTGTAAATGTTCTCTTTATTAAGTATTATTTGTGCATCTGTTCTTACTATGTATTTTGCTTATTACATTACATGTCTATAAATAATACTCCCATGAATGAAATATTGAAAAATGATAATGCATAATTTAGAACCATGATAAAAAGTTCTATCACACGGTACATCTGTTTAACTGTTGTCATGTGGTTATCTGAGAAGTTTCCATCAAGATTTGTACCGTTTGATTGCATTATGACCTAAATGATCTCCATCAAGGAAATTTATCTGTTTTAAAACTTTTTTTTACATTTAAGACCATGTCAGACAACTGAGATAAAATCCAGACATAATAAGATCTTAAACCCTGAGTAAAAGATGTAAAACAAGCAGAAAAGTGCAAATGGGAAATAAATCTCTCTTTAATGATACTAAAGTGAGGAGCTAAAGTTTTGAGGATAAATACTCGAAGTGTAACACATATTTTAAACTGTCCCCTGAAAATTACAGAATAGGCCAAGATGA